GGCGGTCAAAAGCACAGTGGGACTGGGGACCTTTTAATTTAGAGCAAAACCCACAGTAGCCTTTTGGATGTATGCACTTTGACAACTGCTTGGGTTTGAAAGTGATAATTACACCCTTTGGCCCTGGAGTTTTTGGGCAGTTAGGGGATACAAACAGGAGACACATAAGGATAAAAAATATCAGCTCCATTGCTAATGAAGCTAGATTGGCGTATACAGCTTGGACTCCTAGGCCCCAAATTTCTACCTGGAGACCCATGTATGCACTGATGTAGCCCTGAAGAATGGCTTGTCACCCTGGGCAGCTCAGGGAGGTCATGCCACGAAGGCCCAGTACTTCCCGCACTAACACTGTCCCCAAGAGGACTCTGGGTATCAGACTCTGGCCATCTTGCTGGTCTGAGAACATTTTCTTAAGATCATGGGACAGAGCTGGTGATGGACAAGAAAAGGCCAGGCTGGCCGAACTTTCCCCCGTTTGTTCCTAGGTAAATAGCAGTGTGGATAGGAGTTCCTGTTTTATGGGTTGGCTTTAATGTGGGTCGAGGAAGACTGGAGTCCCTCCTACAACATAGCGCAAAAAATGGTATTTGTAAAGATGAACCTGAGTTTAAAATGTTATGTTCAATCTACTCTGGTTATGAAGAATGGAGAAATATGTAGTATGTTTCAGACCAGATAGTTTACTATCATAAGTATATTTTAAATATAAGCCTCTGTGAGCTTCCAGTGTTCTAGAACACTGGCAACTGTGTGCAAGTCTGTCTCCAACAATCCTGAGTAGTGTGTCTGGTCAAACGACCCCCTCTTCTAGTACTGCATCCCAAAAGAATGAACACAAACTCATGAATATTTTTAGTTCATGTTTTTAATGTTTAAAAACCATGTTAATGGAGCAGTTATAGAACAGAACCTCTTACATTTCTCTATTTACACCACATCCTGGGGGGGGAAAACCTGTATTTGATTAATCATGAATAGCAGTTTGGTGACTTGTGACTCACTTAAGTCATTCCTCTAAAATTCATTTACAAAGTCTCTACATTAATAAAACAGTGATGAGCTACACATACTGGACTTAGATGAAGTCCAAAATACACTGGACTCCACAGAGTGGATTACATAACAATGATGAAGGTTTAAGTGTTTGGGGTAAAAATGACTTAAGACAATCTATGTTGGCGTCAACACTGAAAAGAAAAGGCAAACATGCACGACTTTTAAAAGCTTGGTGAAATAATGCTTCTTTTCCCTCCTTCAAATCTGTGCTCCTAGTTAATGTTCAGATTCTTTCCCCCAAGATCCCAAAGTTTGGTAAATGCAGCAATTCAATTTTGGAAAAAACCCCACCACATTCTCCTCCCCAACTTCTGTTTTTATAAATACTGTGTAGTAGTATCAGTGTTAACAAGTGAAAGAGCATTATGAAGAAACCGTGTGTCACTTGGGGTATATCTATTTCTATATGACAATAATTTGGGTCTAAATATTCCTTAGTTGTAGCTCAGAGGACTAGCTTTTAGATAATTGATCTTAATATCTTTTAAATGGTTGATCTTAATGAAATCAACACAACTATTTCTCAGACACTTCTCTTTCTAAACAATTAAGATTTTTAGGTTCCAAGTTTACATTAAGAGAACTATGTTACCTGGCAGAGAATGTAAATTTTTCTAATTCCCAAACAAACCCACTAATATCTATGAAAACTTTTATTCTCGATAGGCAGATGCTAGAGACTTCTATTTCAGTGCGGATCAACAACTGCAAAAATATACAGCCTCCTATTTATTTACAGTATATTTACATACAGATGAAGTATTTCCTACAATAAGCCTCAGCTGCATAGATACTTCCTTTTAAACACACAAATTCAAGCCTGAATACAGATGAGCCCAGTTTCACAGCCCTTCCTCCAAGAAAACCCAAAAAGAGAGTATCTAAGCCTCGTGAATTTTACGTATTTCTCAAGAATGTTCCCTTTTAGATTTGGTGATATTTTTCAGTTGTAGCCCTGCTCTCCTCCCCCCAATCTGTACCTGAAAGCCTTACCTCATAAATAATTCACTGTCTTTTAGAGGAAGTATGTTCTCTTGCTAAAGGGTTCTCAGATCTGCCATCCCCAAGGAAAGCCTTTGTTAGCATTGCTAAATGCTGGAGTCTGTATGCTCTTTGTTTTGAAAGTGGCTACAAGTTTACTGGAATGGAGGAATTATATATCCTTTAAGGCTTATGCCCTTTCTAAGCCTCAAGCCGTTTACACTGATAAACTGAGAGAAACTAATGGCTTTTGCTCTAAGGCATAAAATCAAATGTCTGATCACATCCCTGACCTCCTCCCCACCCACCCCTAACTCGGCCGCCAGCATTCCGATGCACTGAAACGGAACCGAGCTCTGCATTCTTTTCAAAGCCGTTCGCGGCCCCTCATTCAGAGACCTGCCAGTAAAGAATTCACTTTAAAGAGAGGACAGGATTGATCACCACACAAGGAACCCAAACATTCTGCAGAACTTGCTCCTGACACGGACTCAGGATTCTCTCTAAGGATGCATTTACAGAGGGTACATACTCCTTTAATTCCCCTAAAAAAACACCCCAAACAAAAAAAAACCCCCAGCAACACCTCACTTTCTTCACAGCTCTAAACAATGGGATCTTATTGTGCCTCAGCCCAAAGCTATACCCGAGCGCAG